TATTTATTTTTATATTTATTTCTCTGTTTATATTATTTATATCATTGTATTCTTCTTATTATCTATATATTATTATATTATTCTTATTTGATTATTTTTATGTTTATATTCTTTAGATTTTCTTATTGTTATTCTTTTCTATTTAAATGTATTTTATTATTTGAATATTCATCTTTATCATTTTTATATTATTATCATTTATATCTATTTTCATTTTATATTTATTCTCTTTTGATTTATATTAATATTGATTTTATCTTTTATATTTTGATTTTATTATTATATCATTGACTATCATTTCTATATTTATTTATCATTTCTTCTTATTATTCTTTTGTTTTTATATTCTATATCATATATTCATATCATTTTCATTTATATTTTATCACTTATTATATGTTATAATAACATAACACTTATGTTTGATTATATAATAAACATCATAATGAAGTTATACATATAAATAATAAACATAAAAAAGAGTAAAATATTTTTCATTAATAAAATAATATTAATTATTTTGAATCATTAAATTAGACACTTTTATTGAATATTTCTAATTTTTACATTAAAAAATACACTTTTTATTTCTTCTTTTCATATTTTATTACATCTTTTTGATTTATTATTTTTATATTCTTTCTTCTTCTACTTTCTTTTTATTCTTTGATATATTTATATTCTTTTTATATTATTTGTTTTTCGTTGTTTTTCTATTTCTTTCTTCTATTATTTATCAATTTTATATTCATTTATTCTTTTTATTTCTTTTTTATTAGTTCTTGAGTATTGTATATTTCTTTATTATTTCATTTGTGTATTATCAAAATATATGTTTTATTGAATGTATGTTGAATAAATTATAAAATATAATCAATATTTTCATTCTTAATTATTCATTATTTATTGTGAAATGTTGTGTATATTTATTATATTAAATGAATATGATGAATGAATATCAATATTATTGTTTATTTGATTTTAAAAAATAATAAATGAAATGAAATAATAAATAAATAATGAAGACAATGAAATGATAATAAAATAGAATAATCTAATATTGAACAAATCAAATAAAGAATATATTGAATATATCATTATTGTTACTTTATTATTTATTATTTCAATTATTAAATATTAATAAATTATTATTCATGAATATTTAATTGATTGATATTTTACAATTTCATTTTCATTTTATTTAATAAATGAAATATAAATAATAAATGAATGAATAATAATGTAATATATGAAATAATAAAAAGAAAAGAAAGATAAATAATAAAGAAATATGATGTATTTAATATATAATATAATTTATTATCAAATATAATAATATCAAATGATGATTTATTTTTATTTCAAAATATTTTGCATCATTAAATTTTGCGCTTTTTTTATTGCACTTTTTTATTTGTTTCAATAAAATTTGCATCCTTTATTTTTTTTCTTTCTTTTCTTCTTTTATCATCTCTTTTGTTTTATTACACTTTATCTTCTTTCTTTTTATATTCTCTCCTTTCTACTTTTATTCTTTCTTCATCTTCATCTACTTCTTACTTTCTTTTTATTCTTTTATATCATTCATTCTCTTCTTTTTCAATTATTCACTTTTTTTCGTTGCCCATTTAGTTTATATTAGTTTCATTCATTATTAAATTAATTACATCATACACATTTAGTTTAACTCATTTTCATTATTTGTATTTTATTTGTTTGTTTCATTATATTCTTTATTTCATTTCTTTATTTTCTCATATTCTCATTCTTTTTATTTATTTTTATTTCTTATTTTCAACTTCTTTGTTTTTATTAAATTAAACATTGATGAACTTAACTTATTTGATTTTTCTATTAATTCAAACAAATTTATTTCAAATAATCAAATATTTAATTAATATTATCATTTCTTCAATTACATCACAACACAATCTGATTGATTTATATTACGTTTGTTTTCTGTTATAGTTCTAGTACTAATTAATTTCCATTTACCTTCTATTTCTTCTCCATTATATTTAATTTTAATTTCTCTTCTGTATGTATTTATTTCATATGTTATACTATATTCTGTTTCTTTTATTATTTTACCTTTTTCTTCAAGATCCTTTTCCAATGCAGGAAATACAACAAATTTTAATGCCATGGCTATTGTGTAAAACCTTAGGGTCTTGTAAAGAAAAGCAAACAAGACATAGAAATATAAGGTCATACAACAAAAAAAGAAATGTCAATAGCAATAAATGGCATAACAATTATAATAATAAAGGTAAATGATATACCAAAGAAAAAGGGTTTAGAAGACGAAAGACACAAAGAAAAACAAATAAGAAACAAGATAAATACAATAATAATAAAGATTATACAAATAACAAATATAAATGGCTAACAATAAATGAGATACAAGAAAGAATAAAAAGAATAACAAATGAATGGAATGAAGGAGAATACGAAGAAATACTTAAAAAATATGAAGGTAAAAGGAAAAGATGGTATGATATCTTTCAAGAAGTATATTCAATCAAAAAGAAAAAGATAATTGAAAAGACGAAAGAAGAGTTTAAAGAAAAAACAAAAGATTGAGATGAAAAAGACATTAAGTCTATAGAAGAAGAAATTAAAAACAAAAACACAAATAAAGAAATGAATGACAGATGTAAAATCGCAAGAATAATAAATAACAAACAAAGTATAAAGAAAACACAAGAAGAAACAGAAAATAAAGAAGAAAAGATAGAAGAAGAAAAAGAAAAAGAAAAAGAAGAAATACTTGCACTGAAAAATCAAATTACTGAATTAAAAGAAAAACTTAAAGAATTAAGTATGAAAAGAATGGAAGAAGAACAAGCCATCTCAGAAGAAATGATGAGAAAAGCAAAAGAAATAGTTAGGAAAGAATTTGAAGAAGAAATTGCAGAAATGAAAATACAAATTAAAAAGATTCAAACGAATTATGAAGAAATGAAGAAAGAAAATGAAAAATTAGAAGAAGAAAACTTAAAACTACGAGGAAAAATAAACGAGATAGAAGGAAAGAAAATCACAGAAGTAAATAATAAAGAAGAAAAAATCCGAAGTATCCAAGCTAATAAAAAGAAGATTGAAAAAGAAAATGAAGAAATGAAAGAAGAAATTGAAAAGTTGAAAAAGAGAAACAAAACGCTAGAACAAAATGCAAACACATTAGAGAAGAAAATTGAAATGATAGAGGAAAATACTAAAGAATTAAAGAAAGAAATAAGAGATAAAGAAAAACAAATCTCTGAATATCAAGAAATTGCAATTAAAAACCAAGAAATTGCAGAAATAACAAGAGAAGAATTAGACAACACACAAAAAGAAAATGAGACACAAAAACAAATAATATCAAAACAACAAGATGATATTGAAAATTTTATCTCACAGAAGGAAATAGAGAAGAAGAAAACGATGACACTTGTGATAAATACACAACCAGTATTGAGGAAAGCATCATCAGGAACGATGGAGATGAACGAAACTACTCCTATGAAAAAGACAGTAGTGGAAATCGAAGAGAAAAGCACTGATTGTCAAAAAACAAGAGATGATAATCAGACAAGAAATACAACAAAATAAAGAAATAGAATTTTAATTGAAGTGTTGTATTGTTTTGCAATTAATTGATTAAATAAGAAATTATATAAGAAATTAAGATGGGAACAAATAGAAAGCATAATAAAAGTGACAAACATTAATGTAAATAGTGAAAAAGAATATATTAACTATATTAAAATATCACATAAAATAAAAGAAAACACTAAACGGTACATTAAAATGAAAGTAAATGATATAATAGAAGGAAGAGTAGAGTGTGATTCAATAATAAAAAACATCATAATAAAGAATAACTCTACAGAAATTGATGAAGAATACCTTAACACTCTCATCAATAAAGTGAAAGAAATGAAAATAGAAAAATGTTCAAACATTAATTACTACTGGAAAAGAAAAGAAGCTGACCAATTAATAATGGAAATTAATAATAGATTGGATAATATCAAGAAGCAGAATGCAGGATCTGCAAGATGATATGAAGAGGATTTCAATGGTTATGCACCTTTATCTCCAAAATAAAATAATAGGAGACAAATTTGATGAAATTAAAGAAATCCTAAAGAAAATAAATAGACTAGAAGATTTGGTCAAGGGAAGGAAATGGTACAGAATAAAGTGCATCATGAAATTAAATGAACATGATGAAGAAGGAATAAAAGTTAAAGC